AATTTATTTTATCATTAGGTATTATTATAATAATAGATAGATGTCATCGTCTCTCGAAATACAATATCTTTTTTATTTCGCTGTCGATAGCCGGACACGTGTTCCGCAGCCATCTTGTATTTTCTCGCGTGCGTGGGATTGTGGGATCTTTCGTATGACTGGACCTAGTTTCAAGAACTCTCTTGAGTCGATCGCGATTGAACCTCTTTTCAGTCAAGATTGAAACGGTCGATGGAGGTTGCACCAAGGCGAACGGGGTATAAGGCTCTAGTTTAGCAGTGTTACAGAGTACTATATAATACGTATATTTTAATATATTTTTTAAAAGAAACAAACCACTGAGAAATGTTACGTGTGTTTAATAACGGGTTCGGAAAACTTTGAGAATGTTAACAACGGGTTCGGCCGAACCTGTGCGAACCCGCTGAATATCACCACTGCTTAAGGGTTATAATTAATTAAATTAAAAAGACAACACACAAGTAACTCTCGTATGTTGTCAGGCACGCTATACCCTTTATGGCAGTCATTTTGGTCGACTCATAGGCCATGTATATTTATTGGCACAAGCAAATACAAACTAAAAATGAGCCCTAAAAAAAGACCCCACACCTAACGAAGAATTAATTAAATAGATATTATAATTGTGCACTGACCTTGAAAGTAATGGCTGCGAATTTTTAAAGTGCAGAACGATACAAGAATCTTTCAATTCTTGTAACAAACGTAACGTCTAAATTTGCAAAATATCAAATAATGCACGCGTGCAGTGACACGCATTGCATGGTGGGGGAACGATCCAGGTCTCGTTATTCCTAATACCAGTAATCCAGAAAAACACAAAGTCCCAATGTTATCGAGCAATAATGATAGAATAGAATAGAAAAAAAATTTTTCTTCTAAAATTAATTCTCGATTAAATCATAATTTTACTAGACTACAGGTTCACTCGGCACTAACAGCACAAATAGACAGACAAATCAAGTGGATAAACAAGTTGTTTGGACTGTTAAAAGGGAAATTGGTGTTCATACTGGAATATTTTAAAGCAAGTTTTTGTTGATTCTTGTTTATAATTTACAGCAAATTGATTAACATACGCCATTTTATAATGAAAGTTAGATGTACCCCTTTGATTTATGCTTGTACCCCCTGTTGAGAACCACTGCTTTAGAGGCTACTGCCTCCGCAATAAAATGCAAATTAAATGTAATACCGTCGGCCATGTTTATATTTATTATTTTTCTTCAAAAAGTAGATTTGTTGTTTACGGTAGGTGTCTCCGGTGTTTGTAGGTATGCGCAATTGTTTGATGGATTACGTGACGGATCTAATCTCTATGGAGAATCGGGCGTAATGGGTGCGACTATGCAGCGAATTTGCCAAGCGATGTGTGAGCGCGAAGAGGTGACGATGTTTCTTGATGTCGTTAAGTACTGTACAGTACAGTACAGTATGACTACAGCGATGCGAGCGAACGGGAAAAAGTGACGTGGAGATGATGACGTCACATGTTGGCATTGAACTCGTCACAGAAAAGCGTGAATTACTGCACTGTATGGAAATAAAATTCAAAATGATTCGACTACGACACTTACTACTAGCAAAGAAAAACTTTCATTATTAGCAGGGCTGTGGAGTCGCGTAAAAATCTACCGACTCCGACTCCGACTTTTCCTTACCATCCGACTCCGACTCGGTTTCATATACATAACAAGTTGGTAAATAAAAAGGGAGTCGGAGTCGGCAGATTTTTTGACGACTCCGACTCTGACCAAAACTCCACGACTTCGACTCCGACTCCACAGCCCTGGTTATTAGGATTAATTCATAATGAACACATAAAGCGGCCGGATGGCCGAGCGGTCAAGGTGGCAGCCTACCGCTCTGGGGGACCGAAACCGAACGGGTCGAAAAATCCCCAGGAATTTTTCGGGGGGTTGGTCCATTCGGATATGTCGGGCCCCGCCCCTCACCACCCAGCAGCCCCATTGTGGGCCTGGCCGAACCCATAATGGGCTTGCAAAAAGAGGCCCTCTTAATGCCCACAGGACAGAAAGAGTGAAAAAAATGAACACATAAAAAGAAAACAAAAATAGAGTGTTTTTCCTTTCTGGAAGCAGCAAAAAGATAAAGAACTTTTTTGATTAATTTGCGAATCCTCTATGTACGAACTCTCTTACCTAAGTGTCAATTAATTGTAACTGTGGGATATTTGCTATTTATAATGGTGGATTCAGAATTATTAACTGTTTGGCATTTTACTCAGACAGTTTTTCGAGAGTGCTGTTCGCTTGTCCACTGTATTTGGCATTTGTCCACTTTTTTCTGTCAATGCTTTTAATTATCAATCTTTAAAAGCATTATTTCGTTTTACATTTTGTTTTAATAATAATTTTTTCAAATGTTTTTGTACATGTGTATAAAAAAATTACAACATTACGATAATATTAATATGTACGATAAAAAAATATAATAATTATTAAGGCCATGTACAGTACCTAGTACGTACTTTGATTTTGTTGGTAGATTGAAACAGTTAATCTCAACAACAACAAGATAATTTTTTTTACTCTTTCTGCCCTGTGGGCACTAAGAGGATCTCTTTTAGCAAGCCCATTATGGGTTCTGCCAGGCCCACAATGTTGCTCTGGGTGGTGAGCGATGGGGCCGACATATCCTGTTGAACCACCCCCAAAAAATTCTTGGGGATTTTTCGACCCATCTGGATTCGATCCCAGGTACCTTGACTGTTCAGCCATCCAGTCATCTGACGAGATAAGTGTTGAATCACTTATCTCGTTAGAATACATAAAAGCCCAGACCATAGTACAATACCATCAGCACAATTGCTCAAATCTAGAAGCACATAAAGCCCTCCAGCCAACATCAACCAATTGGTAAACTCACAGAACAAAACTTAAAAACAATGCATACCATCACACAAGACTCAACTCACCCACACAAAATATCCTCACGTGACACAAAACAAAGATGCAATGCTTGAACAATTAACCAAAATCAAACAAGCCATAATAGCATAAAGCAAAATAATACAACACATGATAATCTACCTAACATTCCAAAAATTATAGTCAAATGGAGAGGCCAACCTTTACATAACTAACCCATGCGTTTCACCATTCCTATTCAATTTTTTCATAAATGATCTACTGTATTTAATCTTGAAAATGACCACATACTGATATACGTCTATGCTGATGACATTACTGTCATAATCCACAAGAACGACCCCACCAAATTACGCCATAGTACTGCCCACTTTCTCTGTACCTTTGAGAACTGGACCCATGTCAACGATATCAACTGCCAACCACAAAAATGTGCTATCCTCCACATACCAATCAACAACTACAAAAATCAGGATATTACTCCTCAGGGACAGAATATTCCCAAGGTGCCATTACTGATTGTAGGATGGCCTTACCAAGATTCTGGGGGTTACATAGTATTTCAGGAAAAGAAGATCTGGGGCCATCTCAAAAAATTTTTGTTATAATATAATATAATACTATTAAATAATATATGTAAAAAGTGGTACAAAATATTTGAAATTTAAATATTAAAAATTAATTATTTTTATGTTTTAGATAAACACAGGATTGGTAAATATAAACATCTTTATGGTTTTTGAAATATGGCTGGTTGCATTATAGCTAGTGGAATGGAGATTTCACAACAGTGCACTGCTTGTAGTTATTATTATTATTTATTTTATTTCAAAGTATAACTTTATTGCCAACAAGGTTTACTTTGATATAACATGAAGTTTAGTTTTAAAGATTGATAAATCTTTTATCTAAACATCTAAAACTTTTATGGTTTAATGTATTATTATTAATTTTTTAATGTATGGGTTATAAAAATATTTCATGTCATGTTTCAGTATTTTTGTATTTAAGGATATGGTTGATGCAATACAACTTATTGAAGAATGGCCTGAAATGCATTAAATAATGTATGGAATCAACTATAATAAAAAAGTTAATATTTTATTTTTTGGATATTGAATCCCTAATTATGTTCCTTTACACCTGTAAATGCCAAGATTATACAATTTAAAGAATTTAATATAAGTATAGTTAGGATATTTATATTTGTTGAACTAAAAATATGAACTTTTTCAGTAAAAGAAAACACAATTTTTTAAATTATTTTAACTTGATAAGATAATTCAAACTTAATCTAATTCAAATTAAAAATGAACTATGAAAATAAAGTGAATAATTTTTTATCAGTTTCAAACTATGTTATTGTAAAAGCCTTACTGTCCTTTAGAATTTAAGGACAGTAAGGCTTTTGTTAATTGTCTACTTGGACTTTACTTATTAATATTCTGATGTGCGAGGAGATGCAGAGTAAAGAGTTATCAGAGGAAATAGAGAAGATAAAAACAGAAATCTGGTATCAGAAACTATTACTACAGGTGATATAATAAAGAAATTTTGTTCTTCTGAACTAACTCTCATTGCTGTGCCAATCTTTAAACACCAATATTAATTAAGTCCTATTAATGAGTAAAGTCCGAGTAGACAATTAACAATAACATCAAACTATGTTGTTTGTTTGTTGTTTGTTAAGTTATGGCAATGCAACACTTGAGCGATCTGCCTAGGGGGATGCCTTCCAGGAAGTCTTTTTTAAGGGAAACTGGCCTCTATTTAGGCATTACTGACATGGAGAAAACCCAGAAAACTCCATGTGGCCAGCCTGTTTGAGTGAGGTGCAAACCCACGACTGAACTCCCAGTGTTCAGAGTATGAAGACTGTTTTGCCACTGGTGGGCACTTTTCAAACTGTGTGAAGTAAAACTAACAACAAAGAATATATTGCAATTTTTTAAAGATTTAAAATTTATTTCAGTTGTTTGTTTTAATTTCAAATAAAAAAAAAATTATTAAAAATACAAGTATTAATATATAAAGATAAAATTCTTATTTATTTGTGCAATAACTTTTTAAATTATATTCAATTTTTAGAATCCAGATAAAGAAAAATATCCTAAAGCAGTATTTTTCATCATTGGAAATGAATTCTGTGAAAGGTTTTCTTATTATGGAATGAAAGGTATTATGATAATGTGAAATTTAAATAATTAAATATTTTGTTAGATGCATATTTATTAACTAAGAATTGCAATTATTATTATAAATATAGTAAAAAGTTAGTAATTAATTTTTTATATATAATATATCAATATAACTACAACAAAAGTAGAAACTATTAGTACTTATATTTCTTGTACTGTTTTTGTACTCAGATGTTTTGCTTAATTAAATTTTTCCTATGATCTTTGGATATGTGTATGCTTGCTATTTATGTATGTTAAATTCTTATATAATAATGTAATAATGAATATAGTTTATATTTATACATAGTGCCGGCCCGAGGCAAGTTTTAGGATGGAGCGAGATCCCATTATGGCGCCCCCTTGGTTGCCCCTAATTTATACCCTTTTATTTTCTCTATCACTGAGGCGCCCCCTAGGACTTAGCGTCTGGAGCGGCTGCTCCGTTCTCCCTATGGTAGGGCCGGCTCTGTTTATACATAATTTCCTTGAAAAGGCTAAAGGCACCTGAATTTCTAATTTTTATTTTATACAGTATAGTCTTGTTTTATGTGGGAGATGTGTGTCAATAGGTAAGGTACCTCATAAAATAAAATGTGATATAAATTTGTGCTTTACCTCAATAATTCTCAATAGTTTTGATAATTACCTAGACATTATGTAATATTTTACAATTAAGAGAAAAATTTCTACAATGTGTTTAAAATGTTTTATTTATGTTTTTATTAAATATATTGAATTTTGTAACAAAAGAAGTTAGTATGTTCATTAATTAATAGTCAGAATCATTCCCGTGCAACTGAGTTAGCCTATTTATATCTGCTAAAACATGAATCCATGTATATCAGTCTCATGAAAATCTGTACTATGTCATATAGTTTATGGAATAGACATAATTAAATTTAATGAATAATTTTTCTCAAATATAAATTAATTTAAAACGTTTTTAAACATTTTAAAAACATTTATCTTTTTATAAAAATTGAAAACTATACCTGAATGAGAAAAATTGTTGTATGTCAATAACAGTGCTATATTCAGCTTTATAGCACTCCATCTGTAGCTTTCACAAATGTTTAAAAACTAATGTTAGACTTCTCTGTATGGCATTCATGCATCACAAAGTAGCATTACTATCAAAGGTTTCAAAATCTATATTTTATAAGGGCTGGAATGACTCTCCAGTTCATATGATCAAAATTACTTGTATTGAACCTGTATTGACTACTTCTCCACCCATTTTATTTTGTTGGTTTAATTTTTCAACACCCAGTTTATCAGTATATCTCTAAATAACAAAATATTAAATACATTACAAAGCAATATTGATAAACTTAACACTTTACATAAGATGTTAAATTAAACAGCCGGATGGCCAGATATGTTGGGCACCATCCCTCATCACCCAGCCACCCCATCATGGGCCAGGCTAAACCCATAGTGGGTTTGCTAAAAGAGGCTCGATTAGTACCTACAGGACAGAAATAGTTAAAAAAAAACATGTTAAATTTACAAATAAACTCTAGTAAGACTAAAATAATGATCTATAGCCTGGTGATTGCTCCAACTTGCAACCCTTTTTTTTTTTTTTATTGAAGATTGGAAATCATTGATTATCTAGTCCAGGATCTAGGAATTAAATTTGATTCAAAACTCTCATTCAAACAACATATAGGAAATTTAATAGAAAAGCTTTAATTTATAGGAGGAATGCTAAGGTGAAATTTTAGAATAACTTTTAGTAAATACACACTCAGAATATATTTTTTACCAAAATACAATCTATAATAGCCTATGTCTTACCTATTTGAGTTTCTTCCCCTCCATCTATTCTAAACAAATTTTATTTAGAATTGGCTAAAATTTATATTTTACTTAATAAACTATCTAACCTCCTCTTTACAGATTTTCCAGAAGTCTCATGTGTTTGCTTAGGTTTGCCTAATTTCTATAAATACATTGAATATTTTGATTTGATTTATACTTACAAATATTTTAACAGTCCAATATATTTAACTTCACATTCCCTCTGTAATTACTAGAAATGCTACTTCTTTATTCTCTCCATATTGTCATTTCAATGTTACTATTAAATCATTATTTTATACTACTATGTAAAAATTGAAGATAAGCTTCATATTTCCTATATTTAAGGCTGTTTGTAAGAAATTGCTTTAGTATACTTAATTATTTAACTTCTTATTATGTTTTTGTTTCGTCACAATTGTTACTTATTTTACTGGGTATGTTATTTTATTATTAATATGGGGGTCAGCAAACATTGTCTAAATGACATCACCAGTACTAATGTAAATACTAATAAAAAGAACAAAAAAAATATTAAAGAATTGAAGTATTTTGTATATTTATTTATTGAAATTTTAAATTATTTAATAGAATAAAGAAAATTTCTTATTTAAATTTTTCTTTTTTCTCTTTTTTTTTCTTTTTAGCAATTTTAACTTTATTCTTGGTTAACATTATACGTTACGATGATGATACTGCAACTACCATTTACCATACATTTTCAATGGGATGTTATTTTACTCCAATATTCGGTGCTATGTTGGCAGACTCCTTTTTAGGAAAATATAAGTAAATATTTTATTTCTTATCACTTTTATTATATTTTTAAACTGATATTAATTTTGTTTTCAATTTTCAACTATTTTCAATTTATAACTGATATTAATAATTTTAAATTACTATTGATGATATATAAACTACCCCACAGATTAAAATGATATAAAATATTAATAAACACTCTCAAAACATTTTTGGTCATTTTTAACGGCTTTCTTCAAGTAGAATACGTAATTGAATGCCACAACGATAGTTTGGATAATAATTTTCTAGAATATAAATTCAAATTTTACCATCTGAATGTTAAGATATCTTAAAATGAATGTATAAGTTCAAAAAATTAAAAAATGATTGCACATAAATAAAATGAAATAAAATAAAGGAATACATAAAAATAAATTGATAAATACACAATAAAACATTAAACAATGAACCCATATCTATTAAATAAAATAATATAATCAGTCCATGCCTTAGCTGTTACAAGGCTTTGCATTATTTATGTAGAGGGTATACAAACAAAATGACCTCCAAGCTTAACTCTCTATTGGCAGCGTGGATGTATTTTTTGATGTTAGTTTATTGTTTAATGTTTTATTGTGTATTTATCAATTTATTTTTATGTATTCCTTTATTTTATTTTATTTCATTTCATTTATGTGCAATCATTTTTAAATTTTTTGAATATTTTTGAACATATACATCTGTTTTATGATATCTTAACATTCAAATGGTAAAATTTGAATTTGTACTCTAGAAAATTATTATCCAAACTATTGTTGTGGCATTCCATTATGTATTCTACTTGAAGAAGGTTGTTAAAAACGTCCAAAACGTTTGTTATGAAATTTTTGCTGTTTCTTCAAGATTATTTGAGCATGTTTATTACCTTTTATGGNAACCCACATCCTTGTCAAATTGTCTTTTAAGCACACACAAATCAAGAGTTATACATTCAAAAATACAGCATATGTAAATTCTTAACTACTTCTAAGTATCTTTTTTTAAGTATATCTGAGATACAAAAATTAGAACCACAATATATATTAAATATTTGAATATATTTTATTTTCAAAACTAAATTACTAATAATACGTGTCTTGCTAGAAATAATATAAAATTCCTTCGAAGGACTACTGATTTGTGTAAGAACTTGTATATTTCTATATTTAATATTTTGCTAACAATATACAATTTGTAAACATTTAGCTTTTCCTCATCAGGGACTGTCTGTTAATTATGCATACAGTTTTGAGCCACTTTTGACTTCCTTCTTTCCTTATACTTTTAGCAAACTCTCTTTCCTTTAATTACATGGACAATAATTCATGGACTCTCCAACATTGAAGAAATGACTTTTAAAAGTTCTACAAAAGTTTTCTAACTCAGATGTTTCCAACTTGTGTTCTGTGGAAAACAATAAACTTTGGGGTTCCACAATGAAATCTGTTAAGTCTGGTGATATATGAATGTGTCAAAGCAGATTTGGGATGTGAGGTGTAATTATTCTAGTCTTGAATCAAGTCTTCTTATGACATCCCTATGCATGTGCTAGAGTTATTTATAGCTTTATAAATAATGGGGACTGATATATTGGTAATGGAATAAAACAAAATCATGATGTAATGTTTGACAGGATAATGAAAATCATAAAAACGGTAAAACTTAATCTAAAGCTAGAAAATCATTAAAAAAATAATTAATGTTCCATTATGTATAGTGTGTTATAGCACAACAGTAGAGCATACACATGGGCAAATCAGTCAAAAATTAATTAGAGTTTTGCACTGCAATCACTTTGTGATATTTTAAGTATTTTTCATATAAAAATATAGTGGAAATCATATAAATTTATAGTGTTTTTATTATTGTGTATATCCCAAATTAAAAAATCATGGAGCATTGGTCAAGAAAAGAGTTTTAAAGAAAAATGTAGCAAGTACTTCATATGTTCCTAGTGATAAGGAAACTGAAAGGATGGATACAAGCAAAGGTACTGTACAAATCCAAGCATTAGCACTGTTTAAAATATTGAAAGAAAAAAGTTAAACTCTTTCACATTAATAACCAGTTTGAATTAAGTAATAATATTTGCTTTCCATTATTAATCTTTTTTTTTTTGAGATTTTCAATAAATTGTTTTTGGTGTTTCCATTTACTATTTTATCTATAATCATAAAAATTTGTCAGGGTTCCAATATTTTTTATCAAGGTGAAAAGGGTTCTGCAATAAAAATAAGTTTGAAACTGCTGTTCTAACTGATAATTTTTGCACATGAATAGTAGGCTATAAGAACAGTATGCCACTAATACCATTCAAAATGTCTGTATAGACAATGCTGCAATCCTTCCCTCTTTATTATGTACAATGATGTATTTTGCAATCTCCCTTCCTCCCTTAAACTTACTAAATTATAATTTTAGGGATTTAGGGCTATTAGTGTATAAAATAAAATGAAAAGGACTGAATGTTATTTAGAGAATAAGAGAATTGAATTTGCTTAAAACAATTAAATGTTGTATGTTAAAAATCTACAGTGTACAGTACATGATATTATTTTTTTAACACTGAGGAAACACAATTGAAAGTACATTGTCTCAAAGACATACATATACACTATGTACTATACACAAGTGATTAATATTTGGCTTATTTTATTATTATGTTTTTGTCTGCTCTTATCATACTGCAGATAAGAGCAGACCTAACTATAAATCTGCATTAAATATTATGAAATATTGTTTTGTAAGATTTATATATACTTTAGATTCTTATTAAAAACAAATATCTTCTTTTTTAATGTAAGATTGCATATTCTGGAGAAAGTTCTTTATATAGCTGATGTTCACCACTATACATTTTTGTTAGCTTTTATAAAACTAGTGTGCATAAAATTTTATCACATTCTGTATTTCTTTAATTCTAAGACACGATTTTTTAACTTATTTTTACTTGTTTGAAGTAGTCATGTGTCTTAGAATTGATTCTCCATCCAAAACAATAATTATCAAAAATGGACCATGTGATGCCTTATTCATCAATAATAGATATTTTCAACTATACTGCTCAATGATCACAATAATTCAGATGAGAAATTTAAATTAGTTTTAATTAATTAAAATTTAATGCTTCAGTTGACATTACGATGCATCAGTAACACAAAGCCATTGTATATGAAGAAATAGCAGCTTGGAAACAGAGCTATCAAAAATCTGTTTCATGGCATTTATATTTTTCTAACCTGTTGTTATTTAACAAAAAAGTAATAAAATTTTATAGGAGAAAAATTTTCAAATAATCAAAGATATTAAAATTTAATTCCAAACTCATTGTGTATCTTAAAATTGAGGAAATACATTATTTTAAATTAATTTAATTTTTATTTTATCTATAATGAAACCTTGAAATTTATTTCTAATATGAATAATTTTTATTAAAAATAAATGTGTTTTATTCTTTCAGAACCATTTTCTATATTTCTATTATATATGCCCTAGGAAATATTGTACTTGCATCAGCAGCCATTCCAAATGGAATTCCAATGATGTAAGTTGTTAGAAAATAAATCTAACAAAATTTCAGTTCTGTTTTATTAAGATCATTACATTATTGCTTAATGTAATAACAATTGATTAAAGTATTATATTATTTTATATACATATTTTGATTTCATACAAAAAAAAATATATTGTATTATTTTCCTTAAAATTTTATATTATACTTCTAATATAATCTGTTATGAAAAAAATGCTTTATTAGAATTAAACACACATACCAGATTTTTGTGTGTATAACCCCAAAAAATTGCCAGAACAAAAAATAGTAAAACCCTTGTATAACTTGTCTCATCATATACGGAGCAGTTATTGTTCTACAGGCATAAGTTAATAATTTCAATATATAATTTGCCCTATTGCATTAACCCACATCCTTGTCAAATTGTCTTTTAAGCACACACAAATCAAGAGTTATACATTCAAAAATACAGCATATGTAAATTCTTAACTACTTCTAAGTATCTTTTTTTAAGTATATCTGAGAAGTGAGTTTAATTTTAGTAAAGTATTTTTCTTATTATAGTTGACTACATAGAAAATGTAATTTTGAAATAACTGATTTCTAATATAATTTAATACTTATCCGAATTAAAACTTAACATTAATTTATGAAAAATATTATTAAATCGACAAACAGATAAATTGAAATCAATTGAAATTGTAAATTAATCTTCTGATTAAAATAAAAATATATAAATCCTAAATAATGTTAATTTAAATGACTTATTATCAAAATTAATTATAGAGGTTGATTCATGACAATTGTGCCAAACTTTACTTATGTTTGTAGAATGATACAACAAACAACTTCAGTTTTATAAACAGGTATCTGGAAGTACACTATTAAGGCACTAGAGAGGTTTATTATGCACAGGTGACATCCAGCAATTAGTCCTAAATACAGCATATGCAGTCAACTATAATAGCTGTTCAATGTTTTCTAATGTTGTTGCAAACATTGAGACTACAGTAAGAATTGTATACACACCTCCTACTATAGTGTATAAATGTAACATAAGTACATAAAATATTCAATTCAATTTCATTTTATTAGACAAATATAGATACAAAACAGTACTTATAATAAAAACAATGTACAATAAGTTATAATTTATTATAATGTAAAAATATTTCAGAAAAGCGGTTCGTGCAACTTTAGTTCTAATTCCGCTCTTCGGTCTACACTCATTTTTGACCATCTACAGACCAAATTCATCGGGTTCCTGTCAACATCAAGAAGCTTACAACTACGTAGAGTACGCAATGGACGGATTACAGGTATTTATCCACTTTTGTTTTCATGGATAATCAAATATTCACATTTTAATTAATTGAATACGTCTTATTAAGGCTGCTGTGATTTCTATAATATTTTGTTACGGCAACAGCGAAGTAAGTATTTATTATTTTTTAAGAATTCACTTCATTACAATAGCTAATAAATTTACAATATAATAGTAAAAATATTTTCTTGATTTATAAATATTTATAAATAGCATTTTATAAAACTTTGAAGTTTTATAATCGTGTGTAACTTTTTAACAAATGCTATTGAGACATGATTAGATTTCGTCTCACGTAAATTAAACAATTCTAGAATAATAATATCTTTAACATCGAATTTCCTCTCTTTATGATAGCTACTTAGAATATTATCTATTAAATCACAGTAAAGGGGAATGATGCTAATTTATCGATCTATCTGGTTTAATCCAATCTCTCTAGCTACATCTGAGAAGCCATAAATTTTGAGATATTACGTATATTTCCTGGTAAATTATTGGTGGCATAATTTTTGGATATTTGAAACATTAAAAATTTATATTAAATCTAGATACTAAAATAAACCATTTCGATTAATCTTAAATTTCAATCAATATTTCTAGCGTGAAGAAAATCAATTAGACTAAACTAAACTTTTTTCATTCTAGACTTTAGACTGTGCTTTTCTAAATTCTCAATAATATTTTATAAAATGTATTATATATATATTATTTATTTATAATTGTTTATTATTCGAATTCATATTNTTTGAATTATTTTTACCTAATTATTAATAAATTATTTTTACAGACCATTTACAATGATAGGTCTTACTCTGATTGCTGTAGGCACAGGAGGTATTAAACCATGTGTTGCAGCATTTGGTGGTGATCAGTTTTCACCAAATCAAGTAAGGATAGTGTTGGTCTAAAATAATTATCATTTTTTTAAATTTAATTTGAAGGAAAAATCTAATTTTTAATTGTAAATATAGCATTAACTGAAAATTGTGTACATAATACAGTATATATAATCATAATTATAACTATTATTTCTATATGAAAAAATTTTTTCTCTTTTGAAATTCAAAATTAGAATTTTAAAAGAATAAAAATTATATAGAACATATTATTTCATTAATATATGGAAACAATTCTTCAGACCATATTTAATTATTTTTTTGCAAATAACTTCATAAGATTCTGACAGGATTTAAATAAATTAATTCATTTTTTAATAACTTTTTTACATTTATTGGCAATAACTTTTAACACAACATTATAATGTAAACAAATAATAATAATGTAGATAATACTCACACAATATAACTATACTCTAAGGACTACTGTTTTAGCTAATGTTAGATAATTAGATGTTTTTTGTATCAGAAAAATATGATTAGAAGATTTTCCTTAAAATACAATATTAGAATAAAAAATTTTTTTAATAATTGCATGAAAATATAAAGTACATGGAAAAAGGTTTAAAACAATAGCATATTATTTTTTTTCTGATAAGATCTCAAAAAAATTTCTGAATATAATTGTGAATGAATTCGATAAATATGTGATTAAAGTTTAATTCAGAGAGATTAATTCAAGATAAATAAATATTACATTTAATAAATGAATTCATTGAGAAAGACAATACTAAATAAGGATACCAACATATATTTTTGAATCATTTACTTTTTACATTTAAAAAAACAAATAATATAGAGTGGATCGGGGGAACATACCTAACATTTTGCTTATGAAGGAAATTATAGCGATAATTTAGGTTTTGGGGGTTTCTAATGAAGATATCATATTCTTGAGTATGTTTTCAAATGAAAATCAAAAGTAATTATGTATTGTATTTGCAATGAACACTTTTTCACTGTCTGGCATTTTAGGCATCTCACCCCAAGTATCCAGGTGAGATGCCTAAAGGATTGTGATAAGAAAACAAATATAATTGCATAAAATTAATTTTTGAATATCTTAACCAAATTAAATTTATTGAATATTTAGTATAAAATACTTTATAGTAAGTGTAACAGCACAGTATAAGTATTGTTAAGTTCCTGCCTTTTCTAATGTGCTCTATAGCTAGCTGAAAGCTTTCTTTCTTTGGTCCAGGGACCTTTTTGAGAAGTCCTTATATAGTATCTTTGCATATCTTGCAATAAAGCGAGTAAACAAAAATTTATTAAAAATAGGCATGTTATTCCAAGAAAAATGTGGCATCTTTCCCATTTGTCGGGGTAAGATGCCTAATGGATTCATGTGTTCTAGGATATCAGATCGGGATCGGTGGTAGCTGACAATGGAAACTTTAGAACCTTAACTACATCACACATTAGTTGTTTTTCGCAATTTTTAATAAATTATATTTTAACTTTTAGTTTTAAAATTACTCTGAAAATATTTCACAACAGGAAACTTCATTCTTATCTTGCTTTTATTCTTCTCAGATGTAGAAAATGTGGTAATGGTAGCAAACTTTAGCTTTCCGCACTCAATATTGGCCCAATGATCCATCATATAAACACATGACAGTATCTGACGTAACTGTTTGAAAATAACAAAAATTAGGCATCTTACATCGAATTACTATAACTATATTAATGTTCAGTGAATGGTTATCTCTTTAATCTGAAATAATTCCTTCGGTAGACTATCTTACAGCAAGTCAGGTTAAGAAACTCCTTTATTGTATTTTCACATGTGCATTTCAGGCTAGTTTTATTTTTCTAGTGTGGTGGTACACCAATGTATTTGTTATTTTTTCATATATGTTTTATATATGTTTTTCTATTTTTCCTTCCTTCTTTGTTCTTTATTTTTTTGTATATGCTTCCTGGAACTTTCTTCCAAGTGTGGGTGGTGGGTGACCTGGTTAGAGGACAAAGGAAAGGAATAGCCCAGAGAGCAAGAGGGAGAGATGAGAGGGTCACTTTTTGCTTGGGACCTGGAAGAGGGAAGACACGTCAGAGAGGTCTCCAGGTCATTTTTGCATCGACTGGAGAAGGTAACGAAAGGTTCGAAAGAAAAGAAGGTCCGAGACCCAAAGAGGAAAGAAGTATCGTGATTAAGGACACCTGAAGACTGAAAAGCCAAGTGAAATATTGATTAGCTTTCACCTACAATCGGCCCCCACAATCCAGGATGGCATCATCCGACCACCGCCACTTCGATCGCCAACTTGGGTACCCATTCTTGCTTGAAACTATATTTCTATCTATCCTATTATCTATCCTTTTCTCTCTTTCCCTTATTAGAATAAGTAGATTTAAGTTATTGATAAGTATTTTCTTTGTATCGCGATAATTTTGTTCTGACTGTGGATCTGAAAAGGTTTTGTTTTGAGAGAAAAGGGAATTAGGCGTGTCGGAATCCAGAAGATCCTGTAAAGTGTAAAATATATGGGCAAAATAAAAGCACGTTTTATTGTTTTAATATATGCATCTTTGTAAAAATAAACCTCACCACGTGCATATGACCACACTAGTCCCTCTTCAGTGCTACAGGAAGTACACATTACAAACATTGAGTTGACAAATATAATAACATGAGTAGAAATGTCAAGTAACACAAAGAAACACTTTTTTTTTGAATACCTTTAAGAACTTTGTCCACTTTTTTCCCGAGCTAAATTGTTACACTCATATGAGTGTAACAATTTAGCTCGGGAAAAAAAGTGGATTTAGCTCAATTTAGCTCGTCCTGTTCCCGAGCTAAATTGTTACACTCATATGAGTGTAATAATTTAGCTCGGGAACAGGATGAGCTTTAGAATTATAGATCAAAGAACATGAGGCAGCCATTAGATTAAAGTATAACAACTCTCCTTGGTATAACCATATCAAAAATAGTAACTGTAATATTGATAGAAATAATATTAAAATCCTGCACGTAGAGAAAAATATGTATAAAAGAAAATTTAAAGAACATATTGAAATTATAAAACATAATGACAATAATTTAATAAATATCTCTAATGGCATGCAAATTGAATAACTATGGTACGACATTACAGAGGGCATGACAATAAACCAGTAAATAGTTTTGTAAAACCTAGGCACCGAATGTGTGTAAAAGTTATTGTGTGTAAATTACTATTTAAGGATTTATACAACACATAACTATTGTTTAATGGAATATTTTCAAAGAATATAACAGAAAAACCTGTATGTATATTTTTGTAAAAAACTTTTTAAAAGTTTTTATATTACTTATTTGTTACTGAGTTTTATGATTGTATTATTATTTATAGTGACATTGTTTCATTGCAATACGGTTTACGCCCACAAAGATATTTTAACATTGTAAATAGAAGTACCGTATGAGTATAACAATTTAGCTCGGGAAAAAAAGTGGAAGTTCTTAAAGGTATTGTAAAATGTTTTTCCTTGTGTTACTTGACATTTCTACTCATGTTATTATATTTGTCAACTCAATGTTTGTAATGTGTACTTCCTGTAGCACTAAAGAGGGACTAGAAAAATAAAACTAACCCGAAATGCATATGTGAAAATACAATAAAGGAGTTTCTTATCCTGATTTGCTGTAAGATAGTCTACCGAAGGAATTATTTCGGATTAAAGAGACAATCATTCACTGAATGAATAATACAGCTACAATTAGTAAATTCAATATATTAATGTTATATAATTATGTAAACTGAAACTCTGTTTTATTAGTGTACCAATAAAGCAGAGTTATTAATTTATAAAACATAAAAAAATTGGAAATTTATTCATTATTTGTAAAATGTATATAAATTTTAATATTGTAAATGTTAAAATTCTGAGATTTTAATTTTCTGTTAATTATTATTTATACTTTATTTTTATTCTTTCAGAAGTATATTTATTCTTATACTTCTGAAAATAGATGATTCAGAATTATTAAAGAACATTTTAAAAAATAATTTACTTTAATAAAAAATTAATGATTTATTTTATATTTATTAATACAATCAAAAAAATTCTTTCTTAAAAACTGTTTTAATAATGAAAACTTTTTGTTACTAAAACAGTTTTTAAGAAAGAATAATATCTTAAAATGCTTATAAAATAATGTAGATTTTAAAATCTATTTATTGGAAAATGTTCTATATTATTAAGAATTATTATTTATTAAAATATTAATTTAAATATTTGCATAATTACTGTAAGTAAAAGTTTGCAAGTATGATATATTATTTTATATTGAAAATCTTTTATCATTATGATTTTAACTTCTATTTTTGTTTTAATATCATTACTTTACAATTATTTTTATATCAAATAAAAAATGTAATAGTTTATCAATAAAATATTTAATTTTTTTGCAAACTTTTAGGAAAAAGAGTTACAGAAGTTTTTTTCTTTTTTCTACTTGTCAATTAATTGTGGTAGTATGATTTCAACTATTCTTACCCCATACTTAAGAGGTTAGATTTCTTTTTATTTCTTATGTTAACAAATTTTTTCTAACATTCTTTTAAAATTTGCTGCTGTTATAGAATTATTATATTTAAAAATGTGATATATTATGTATTGATTAATATGATTTTGGCTACAAATTAAAATATTCAATAGCTTTTCAAGAAATCAAGAGATTGATTTCTTGAAAATTGATTAATTTCCATTTAAAATAGATAAAAATGATAATCATGTTTAATTATTTTATATGGAAATGATTTAATTATAATTTTTTCTTAAAATAAAGCAATTATTTATTAAAACATTAAAAATTGCATTAAAAATTATGATTTTAATGTTTTTAAGGTTTAATTTTGAATGTTTTATTTGAAGCATTTTATTTGAAGCAAGTTAAAAAATTAATCATAATTTATTGTTAAAATGAGTTTTTATGAAAATTCTTTGGAATTAGGATTTACAACAGTAATTATGTATAATAAGGTTATAATTAATATTTTATTTTTCTATTTTTTATGAAATATTTGATTTTTAACATATAATATAAAAAAAAGGGCTCAAAGTTAACCTCATTAAAGAGGAATTATCTAGTAATTTTAACAGTGATCTTTACTTCTGATGAAGTTTTTGGAGTTTCAATTTCTTTTTAATATTCAAATTAACTTTTTTGTTAATATTTAAAATATAATTTCATTTAATGAAGTGATGATAACTATTTAATTTAAGATCTCAAAATTATATTTAATAATAATGTAAATACTTCTGAAAATGAAATTTTTTAGTGCCAAACTTGATTTATTTAGATAGTGTGTTCATAAATCCTTTTGAAGTTCAATAACTTTTAAAAAAAATTATTATTCTGAAATTGCAAAATGCATTTCTATGTCTTTATATGAATTGGGTAATGTTCAAACTAATAATGATTACAAAGGTCTGCAAAAAATTTTTTTTCCATCTGCATGGGATATTTTTGCTGAATTATATGTTTTAAAGATCAGAGATTCTAAAAATGACTTCCATAACATCCCATCACGTATAGATTTTTTGCAAAATAAAAACAAATATTTGATAAAAACTTTTATTTATTACAATGAACTAAATATATTATATTTTCTTACAACTAATCAAAAAATTGTTTCTGATATTTATACACAATTTTAGGTCTACTCTTTTTTCTTATGACTCCTTTTCTTCTTCTCTTTGATGCTTCTCCGAACTCATTTCTGATTTCCTTCTCTGGTTTCTCGATTGAGCATCCAACAGTAGTCAGTTAACATATTGACATCCCATTTTTCTTGGTAATGTCTCTCGATATCATAGACATCCTGGTGAAATCTTTCACCCTGTTCTTCACTGTAGGCTCCCAAGTTTTCGGGAAAATAATCAATATGGGAGTGTAAGAAATGAACTTTTAAGCTCATCTTGCATCCTTGAGTTTCATATGCTACCAGCATGCGTTATACAATGGTTTTGTAGTCAGGGTTCTTAGTATCCCCAAAAACTTATGCACTACATTCTTGAAAGAATCCCATGCTTCTTTTTCCTTTTCTCCCATTGTTTCCAAAAAGAGGGGATCAGATAAAGGGGATGTTGACTTTTCACTGTGTATTCACCACAAACATAACAGAAGCTGTCGGGAGAAATTACACAACCTCTGTGAGCCATATTCCAGGAATAAAAATACAACCACAGTAGTGTTTGAATGCTGGATATAAACTGAGTGTGGCATTAGATGGTCAGCGAGATACTGAACTTATTTATCTTGTTGAAACATGATCTAATCCAACAACAGGTTGTTTATATTTATTCCTAGTATCCCAGATAATATGTCAAAACATGCTCAACCGCACTATCATCTTTTAACCTGTTTTTAACGATCATGTGACCTTCCTCCTAACGTTAAAACTACTTAACTCACCTCTCCCTACCACTACTCTCTTCAATCATTAACATTATTTATTTATTTATTACCAAGTCCAGCTATAATTGAGAGAATTAATGTGAGAAATCTTCATTTTAAGGCCATTTAAAAAAAAAAGAAAAAAAGAATACTAAATTTTAAGTTAACTAGGAATTTTATGCTAAATACAAACAACTTGATTGTAACTAAAAAAATTGATGAGATGGAATTTTTTTGGTATTTTTTTTGTTTTTACCAAGTTGAAATCTATAAGAAAATGTATAAAAATCCTATGCAGGTTTTTACTTGCAGACCTGTGTTATTTTAATTAATGATCCTGATTTAGATTTGCTTGACTCTCAAAAATTATCATGTTCTATAATAAATATTTTAATTATTAAAAACAGGAAAAATGTTCAAATTACAAAATGTGTAGAATAATGTTAATTACATAAAAAATATGCTCATTTATAAATTTGTCAAAACTGTGTTTGTGTACATAAACAAATTTCATGACACATCAAATATGTTATAATAATTATTTGTTATTATAGCATTATCACAGCATATTTGATGTGTCATGAAATGCTATTGCTATTTTTCTCTCTGATGATATGTGAAGAAAACTTCAAATGCTTTCTTCCAAACATTATTATAAAAGAAAGTTACTATTTATAATTCTGTTTTTTACCATGATTTTAGACATGCAAAACAAGATCGAAGTTATTATTCAAAACAAAAATTAAACTGAAGGTAAATGTAAATTTTGTAAGAAAGCATTAGCTGTACTGATGTATTTGTTCAAGTTTTTTTATGTTTCAGGGACAAAGAACTAGATTTTATTACTTTACTATAGAGCTTTTATTTTGCATATGTCTTCTTTTACACACACAGGAAAAAAAGGGGTCTGACACAAAGAGGGTTCTATTTTTATATATGGAACCAGAGCACCATCTGTGGGGAAATATCCACAACACAAATAGCAGAATTAAAAAAAAAACACTAAAATTATTTAGATTACAACAGTAACAATGATAATAATAATAGTAGCAACAACAACAATAATAATAATTATCTTCCTTTTTTACCTTCTCAACAGTATTTGCCACAGAAAGTAAAAGTAAATATTATTATTTCTTAAAAGGTTTTATCTGTAAATTTGAAACAAGAATAAGGACTGTGTTTTGGATTAACACAGTTCTCTTTTTAAATTTGCAAATGGCTTGGTCTCATTCTATAACTATCATTTTATCTTCTAACAATCAAAGCATTAATCAATTATTACATAAACATTTTGAAAATTATATCCATATCATCACAGTAATGATTATAAGACTCATCACTATTAATTAATATTTAGTCATTTTCTTGTAAATTATGAAATCTAAAAAGAAGATTTTGCAACAGTTTATATAACTTAATTAAATTTTAATTAAATTTCTTATGACTGCTGTTATATATATATTGTAAAGTCTTTGTAAATCCGCACTTAAAATGTAAATTTTAATATTGGCGGTAGACTATCACACAGCTTTAGCCAATGATTTCACTTTATTCTATTACTATAGATGCATTTCGGTCCTTTTCTAAAAAAGGTCCCTCTTCAGTACATTTGAGTACACAGTTTTATTTATACATCCCTTTAGCACTTTTATCTTGAGCGCACTAAATTATTTTTATTTATGTCTTGTGTATGTATTTTTCTATGATAGTCCATGAACTGTCTTTTTTATTAATTGTACACAATAAAAACACTCCACTGGTAACTATTTAACTGCTCTTTGCACACTATAAACCAATTTGATAATAACTGTTCACAAGTATATATATATAAGTTTATATAACTTTTATTTACAAATAAACAAATATTAAAGACATAAATAAAATTTTCTAATATATGAAAATATCTTAGATTTTGTATATGGTATTATAAACTATAACGAAAATAATAACTCATTTGTTTTGTATCTGTATTATTATAACACACATACAAAATAAATCCTATTTGCTACAGCAATATTTTTATTCAATGACAGATTTTTTTTTTTTTTGTTGAATTATTATTAATTATAAATCAAATAAATAATAATAATACATTAAGTAAGTTTTATTATTATATTGTTTGGAATCGTGCTGTACATCAAAAAAATTTATTTTTTTTTTAATTATACACAAAAAATAAAGCAATAAAACACAGTAATGAAACATTGAAAAAATAATTATTTATAAGATAAAACAATAATGGAATGGAACTTACATGTATATATTTATATTACAAATTTAGTAAACTATGTATATAAATGAAGGTGTTTGTTTGTTTGTTTGCTATCAAAACAAACAAACACAAAAACAAATTATTTTTTACATTTAAATAGACCCTCATTTCATTATTGGATTTCCCATCACAATTAATGGAAAATGGTAAAGTTTTATCAAAATTAGTGCATTAAATTTTGAGAATGAACTCATTCTAAAAACCCATAGAAGACAATTCTACAACCTTATATCTCAAAAACAAAGTTATGGACCTCCATTTTTTTAATTATATTTTTGGATTCCTCATCTCAATTAATGGAAAATGACAAAGTTTAATCAAAATCAATCAAACAGATTTTGATAATGAATACTTAGAGAAGAGGTTTTGTTATCACACAAAAGTAATTATTTTCACATTTTTGCAAGATTTTTTTATTTAAACAAGTTATATGAAGTCCTTCAGATGTTAAGGTTAGCAACTTCAATCACATGAGAGGCCATCACAGCCTATCCAACATGGATCAGTTTTCAAATATTAATAGTAAACCAGTATTAATTAATGATCGTTGACCATTCTCTCTTCTGGGAGGAAGTCAACGACTACTTTTGATTGAATTACTTCAATCCCCTTCAGCGATAGTCCCTTCTTCCTATTGGACCAGCAATATGGTACATTTGATTAGGAAAATTACATAATTCGAGATTACCAATGAGCATAAAATATGTTTTAAGTGGTTTTTGAGGGTGCCAAGTTTAAATATTTGTTCCATTTTTTGCAAAATTTGATTTGTTGCCAGATTACCATTTGACATTTGGCTGTGAATGGTACAGATTCTTAGAGTTAACATTAGAAAAAAATATGATATCTGAAAAACGTTAAGATATTGCATTTTCAATTCCTGTCTACTTCACCAATGAAATTCACTTTTGAGTCTTGCAATTCATTGTGATAGCTTGTTGTATTTTTGTTGCAACATTTCTTCCACAAACAATTTTTGAGCTAATTTTCAATTGATTACTTTTTACTTATTTGGTTTATGGCTGCTCTATCACTCACTAACAAAATTTCTCAGGAACTATAGATATATTTATTTGTTTTTTTTTTAATTGTATTTATTTTTTCCCTATAATATTTTGTAAAAACCTCCTGTAGCATGTGGTCTGTGGGGTTGAACAAAAGAAGAAGTTAAAACTATGAATAGTCAGCATCACAGCATTGTTTTATAAACAAAAGTTTATTGGGAACAAATACACGACTAATGGAACAATACAAAGTTTAATCATGTTACAATAATATTCTTACTCTGATTATCCTTCTCCTGACCTTCCTTCCTTACGCGAAACCCTCCTTTTTTCTGATAGATTCAAACAAAATAAAAATAAAAAGAGGAAAAAAATATAAAATATATAAATAGCTTCGAAGCACTACAATTTATTTGTTGTTAAATAAATTTTGCCTTTTACTGTACACTAGCATCAAACATTGCCAAGGTAAGATTAAGTTTCCCCATTCGTAATGAAATAATTAAATATTTTGATTACTTTTCAAAATATGTTAATGGTCATATTTTATCTGATTAGTGGTACCTTAGTGTACTGTACCTGTTAGAAATGCCTGTAACTTATGATTTTCTTTTTATTGCTCAAATATAACTCATAGATAATTTTCTTATAATGTAGCTAATAGTTTTTGATTAATACAGAGCACATGGTTTACCTTATTATTCATGATACAAAAGATTTTGTAAAATATACTATATAATTCATAATTATTGTTTTATCTTATTTGAATTGTTTATATCTTTAAAATGTTTTGTTTGGGCTATTTTGTTGGTTTGGGGTGGCTATTTTCAATATGTAATTAAAATAAATAAATATATAAGAAGAAATTATTGAATCTATTGAAATTATTGGTAATAAACTATAAATTATTTTTATAAACTTAATAATTAATTGGTTCTCTTAGTCTAATAAAATTTATATTTTAATTAAAAGTTTTAAAATTTAGAATGTTAATAAATTATTTAATGAATTTTCAGAGGATGTAAAATGTTTTGGAGATAACAGTTGCTTTGCTTTAGCATTTGGAGTCCCTGCAATTCTTATGATTGTTTCATTAAGTAAGATTTTTAAGAAAAGATTTATTCAATAAGTATTTATTGATAACTGTACATAAATTAAATAGTTAATAGAAAATAAACTAATAATTTTTTTTATTATTATTACTGAAAAGTTTGATTGCATTTCAACTTGAAATTAAAAATTATTTATTTAACTGTTCTTGAAAGTTTAAGTAAAAATTTAAACAAATACATAACACTGGAATTTAATAATTAACTAAAAACTTGCATCTTTTAACTCTTGCAAAAAGTTTATATTATCATCATCATATTATGTAACAGTTAAAACCGTTACATAATATGATGATGATAGTTAAAATAATTATATTTTTATTCTTCTCAAGGAACATATCTAGTTTAGAGTTCCTGCTATAGAGAAAGGATGAGTGAAGATAGTTTGGATAGTCTATATTTATATTTTTAATCAATTTTAGTGTTTTGGATTTTTAAATGTAACATACATTGTTATACAGAATTGATTGCCCATTGGAGTTTGAAAAATTTCAAGACTAATCTGATAGATTTTCAGATTGTTTCAGCAATATATTTAAAACCAATATTTATCCAGCTATAGATTAGAAAATATATTAATACAAAATGTCAGGAAGAAAGATATCATAAATGACAGTCTTTCTTTATTAAATGTCAATCAGTTGTTTTTAAAAATTAAGTTGTTTGTTTTAAATTAAAAAAAATTTTAAATATCATTGATAAACTAACAATATATTTTTGAAATACATTTCATTAAGTTTTATATCAATTTTTGTTAGCTAAATTTTAATTAAAATATATAAACCAGTTATTAATAATTATATTTAAGATGATTTAAAAAATTTCATGCTGCATTATATAGTCAAAATATTTTATTTTATTATTGAAAAAGCTATATATTTTATAAATGAATATAAAATTTTAAAATACTTAGTGGAGTTTTATAAAAAGTTTTGTTTGTTTACATTTTAACATGCGAATATAATGCCATTAAGAATATGTAGAAAATTATTTTTAAAATAACTTTGAATAATTTTATTATTTTTGTGTAATTCAGAGGTAAAAAAATAAAATAATATTTAAATTTATAAGTCTATCTACCATATACCTAGTTAAACAAAAATTTTTGTTAACTTAAATTGATATTAACCAATCTATAGAAATGTTATTGGAATATTTTCTGTAAATTCTAGTGATTTATCTAGAGGAAAATTGAAATTTAGATTGATAGAAGTTCTTTGTGAATTTTTATGATGTAACTAAAAAGTTATGTCTGAAAATGTTTGCTTTGTAGCAAACATTTCAAAATGAATTCATTACAAAACTACAGTTTTTTTTGTTAAAAAAATTAATTCATTCTTTATCAGTCATAAATACATGATATTTTCTGTTTACAGAATGAGTGATCTCAGTACATCACTAAAATATCAAAATGTCTGTTAATTATAGGACCATTAATCAATTAATCTTCAATAAATGACATAATAATTATTTTAATAAATTATAAGTATANAAATTAAAAATTATTTATTTAACTGTTCTTGAAAGTTTAAGTAAAAATTTAAACAAATACATAACACTGGAATTTAATAATTAACTAAAAACTTGCATCTTTTAACTCTTGCAAAAAGTTTATATTATCATCATCATATTATGTAACAGTTAAAACCGTTACATAATATGATGATGATAGTTAAAATAATTATATTTTTATTCTTCTCAAGGAACATATCTAGTTTAGAGTTCCTGCTATAGAGAAAGGATGAGTGAAGATAGTTTGGATAGTCTATATTTATATTTTTAATCAATTTTAGTGTTTTGGATTTTTAAATGTAACATACATTGTTATACAGAATTGATTGCCCATTGGAGTTTGAAAAATTTCAAGAGTAATCTGATAGATTTTCAGATTGTTTCAGCAATATATTTAAAACCAATATTTATCCAGCTATAGATTAGAAAATATATTAATACAAAATGTCAGGAAGAAAGATATTATAAATGACAGTCTTTCTTTATTAAATGTCAATCAGTTGTTTTTAAAAATTAAGTTGTTTGTTTTAAATTAAAAAAAATTTTAAATATCATTGATAAACTAACAATATATTTTTGAAATACATTTCATTAAGTTTTATATCAATTTTTGTTAGCTAAATTTTAATTAAAATATATAAACCAGTTATTAATAATTATATTTAAGATGATTTAAAAAATTTCATGCTGCATTATATAGTCAAAATATTTTATTTTATTATTGAAAAAGCTATATATTTTATAAATGAATATAAAATTTTAAAATACTTAGTGGAGTTTTATAAAAAGTTTTGTTTGTTTACATTTTAACATGCGAATATAATGCCATTAAGAATATGTAGAAAATTATTTTTAAAATAACTTTGAATAATTTTATTATTTTTGTGTAATTCAGAGGTAAAAAAATAAAATAATATTTAAATTTATAAGTCTATCTACCATATACCTAGTTAAACAAAAATTTTTGTTAACTTAAATTGATATTAACCAATCTATAGAAATGTTATTGGAATATTTTCTGTAAATTCTAGTGATTTATCTAGAGGAAAATTGAAATTTAGATTGATAGAAGTTCTTTGTGAATTTTTATGATGTAACTAAAAAGTTATGTCTGAAAATGTTTGCTTTGTAGCAAACATTTCAAAATGAATTCATTACAAAACTACAGTTTTTTTTGTTAAAAAAATTAATTCATTCTTTATCAGTCATAAATACATGATATTTTCTGTTTACAGAATGAGTGATCTCAGTACATCACTAAAATATCAAAATGTCTGTTAATTATAGGACCATTAATCAATTAATCTTCAATAAATGACATAATAATTATTTTAATAAATTATAAGTATATATGTAAAATTATAATGAATTAAAATTTTAAAATACAAGGTCTGTTCAAAAAGTATCGGACCTTATTTTTTTCCGCGTAAACCAATGATGCGAGAGAGGCCTCCTTCGGTGGAGTTGTGGAGGGGACAGTCATGCACAGCCCTGAATTTTTTCCCGCCTGCAGAAAGCGTCAGTCGTTGGCAATCGGCGTATGAGTGAGGTCATGTAGTGCGCTCTCGTCGGATTTCACTAAGCTGGAAAATGACTGAACAACGTGAGCAGCGATATTACATCAAATTTTGCCAAAAACCTTGGCGATACCCGAGTGTAAACCATTCGCAAGATTCAGCAGGCTTTCGGGGACGATCCTCGAGGCCAAAAAAAGCGCGGCAGGTCCGCAGCAATATCAAAGGTCATGTTGACAGTTTTTTCGACTCTCGTGGGGTGGTGTGTCGTGAGTACGCACCACAAGGCCAAACCATCCCAAAGGAGTACTACCAGGAGGTCCTTCGTCGTCTTTCCGATACAGTGCGATGCAAACGATGGGATCTGTGGTCGATCAAAACTTGGCAGCTCCATCGTGATAACGCATCCGCCCATTCTGCGCATCTGATTCGGGCTTTCGTCGCCAAACACAATACTCCTGTGGTTCGTCACGCTCCGTACTCTCTCCACATGGCTCCGTGTGACCTTTGGCTATTTCTCAAGCTGTAAATGCCGCTAAAAGGAACCCAAATTTAGTTGAGAGAAGACATCATACGAAATGCGATGGACCAGCTTATAACCATTCCAAAAGATGCGTTCCAGCAGTGTTTCCAGCAATGGCAGGAACGCTGGGAGAAGTGTATACATTACCAAGGAGATTACTTTGAAGGGGATTAGGGTTTTGTACCTCAAAGTCAATAAATTTATTTTTGCCGACCAAAGGTCCGATACTTTTTGAACAGACCTTGTATTTATGATAATATATAATTTATTAAAAAGAAATTGCATATAAAATTTGGAATTTCTTCCTCTTACAGTTATTTTTGTTTTGGGTCGTCCTTTATATAAAATTATTGCGCCAACTGGAAATATTGTTGTTCAAGTTGTTTCTGCTATTTGCGTAAGTAATAGTGAAAATTCAAATTTATTATGTTTTCTGTTTTACAGTAATATTGGTATTTTTTTGTTAAAAATTTTAACATTGCATTTATTTAATAAAACTATGGAGGATATATTTTATGATTTTTGAATCTTTAATTTCAAAATATAAATTATTTAACTAATGTTTTTAATCATAACACTTAAAATTGATAAAAATACTTAAATTAAAAAGTAAAAAATTAAATTTATTTTAAGAAATCAAATAGAATGAGCAATTATTTATTGTGACATCATCACAATGCCAGGGTGCAATTTTTCATCACAATGCTCACAATTTTCATAGTGTCATGCCCCTGTACACCATACTTTTCCTCTTAACAATAAAATCATGCCAATCATCTATCTAACTCCATTTAGGAGAAAACTTTTCAATTGAAATAACATGATTTCCAGTCCAAACTGGAAGTTTTTATACAATTATTCAGGGCCTCCTGCCCCTAAGCTTTTTTTATTTATTTATTTGGTTTGATTTTTATCTATCTAACTTCATTCACAAGATTAAAGCAGGACAGATAGATTGATGGATGCCAGTGGGAATTTATAGTCTACAATTTTCAAAAATTGGACTGCCCAATAAAATCAAGAAAGCTTAAATTTCTTTGTAAAAGATGAGATGCTCTTATTTATAAATTTTTAATTTAATTAAAACAATTTATAAACTAAATAAGATTTATGCAAAATTATTTTTATAAACTAATCATATTATCTGAGATAAATGCCATTGAGATTTATAATAAATTTTCTAAATACTAAATTTATATTGTGAAACAAAGAAAAAAAGTGTAATTGAAAACTCCACAGTTAATTTCAAGAAATGAAATATCAAAAGTATATGTTAATCTACAAATTAAATTATTAAATTCTATTCATCTTTATTAATTGCATGAAGTTTATGATATCAGAATCATTAAATATAGTTATATTTTCATTTGGTTCATTTGGTGATACTACTTCTCTTTGTCAAAACAGAAATATCCAAACAGTTTTTTGTTAGTTCAAAATATTTTTAATAATTTTACTAATGGATTTTTAAATTATACATTTTTTCTAGATTTTCAGCAAATGATTATTATTATCAGCATCAGCTAAATTTTTCAAACTTTTTTTTAATTATTTTGTTATTCTTTTTCATTTTAATATATTACTTTAATTAATATTTATTTTCAACTTGTTATTAATTCAATAGCCTGTTAAATTTGTTTTATTTTTATTTCTTTTTACACAAAATGTATGCATATTTTTGTTAAATGTTCTACCATCTGCTTGTTTTTCCTATATAATAATTATCAAATATACAATGCATTTGTAATATCCTCAATATATTTAGTGTAATACTCATGTTCTGTTTAAGAAACAAGAATTTTAATTTTTTCAAATAAAATTACATTATGTAAAATACTTATAAATTCATTAGCATTATGAAATAATGCATTAATACAATAAAGAAGCACTGTATAGGTGTGTGAGATTACTACACTCCCAGAAATAATCACTCTAGTTGCAATAAAACAAAAAATAAACAGAACTAAAAGAAATAATACAATTAAAAATAAAAGTACAGTATACAGCAATTAAAATAATAACTACAAATTTCTTTTGCAAATAGTTTTAGAAGTTTTAAAATTACTGAATAAAAGAATGATCTAAATTGATTGCATTGAAAATAGCTCTTTAAAAGAAAGCATTACATAATACAAATAATCTAAGATTAGGTCTAAAAAATATAAAATGTTTTTAGTACTGATATCTATTTGGACAGCATAAAGATATATTGTGAGAAGGAAAAAATCCATTAAAAATTCATTTATTTCAATAGAATTTTATTTTTTAATTCTTTGAAGATTAAGAAAACCAAACCTTGCCCTAGTGACATTACCAGAATTAGAGAAAGATAATTTCCCAACTTATTAATTACAAGATAAACCTTGTTTAACTCATTCAATAATATGTTTTATTAGAAGGGTACAGCTGCAGACCAAACAGATAAACAATACTTTAAAGATTAGTGGAAAAAAAGGGCTCTTAAGACAGAAAGTTGAGTTACAATTATGCCATATGACCTCTCTTTGGATAGCTAAACTTTTAATTATTTTTTCAACATGACAACTAAATGTTAGTTCATCAAAAATAACTCCAAGATCATTAACTGTAGAAATATATTTAATTTATAAAATAATTTAACTTAAAGTAACAAATGGTGAACACATTAAATACAATATTGTAATTTATATCAAATTCTTAGACCAGTATCAAGGATTAAATGGATTAAGTTTAATTAGTTTTGAAGAAATAAACAATATAAATTTTTCATGTGAATCTAATGAAATTTATTACTTGATATTCATGCATAAGATATCATTGTTAAAATCTGTACTCATCAGCACATATTCATATAAACCATCATTTAGATTATCAAAAATATTAAAGTTTTGCTATTAATGTAATCTTTTTTTCTCTTGTCAAATTTCTTAAGATATTTGCTTAAAAATTCCTAAAATAAAATTCATAAAATAAAGCTATATTCTGGATTGTATCTGTTAATTGTAATAGACATAGCAAAATTAATTTTTATTTGAATAATACAAAGAACATTATTTTAAACAAGCAACAACAATAAGCAAATTTATGTGTGTTAAAAAACAAAAATGTCATTAATTCTAAAATGTTCTATATTTGTTATTTAATAAATTTTTATTATGTTTTATTATTACTGAGTTTTGTATAAAATTCAGAAATCTGGATACAATCTAATTAATTTAAAATGAATAATGAGTCATATACAATAGAATTTACTTATTGTAATCACATTGAGATTCACAGATAACAATAACCAACTTAAGCAGGATAGGTAAATAAACTTATATTAGTTATTGGAAATCCTGGTTTTATTAGTTCTTATATTAAAAGGACGTGTTAAAACAACTAAAAATTGTATAACTTGAAGATTTATTAATTTAATTATTATTAATTAATACATAATTCATCCAGTTCTGTTTGCCTGCCACTGCCTTTAATAACAACTAGCATATAATTAAAATAATATATGCCAGCAATTTAAACAACTATACCCTGAGTAAATAATGATTAAAGCAATTATTTTGATGTTTAAAATACAAACTAATCCCCCCAACAGAAAACAAAATATAAGACCTAAAATAAAAATAATCATATATAAACCTACTAATTGGAAATCTAATCAAGACTGATATTCAGTTATTGTTATAAGTTAATGATTACACATGTTCAGGTGTAACTGTTAAAAGAGAGCTTCAAAATGTCTATTTGCATGAAAATGTTGATAACAATAAATAAAACTGTGATTATAATAAGCTTTATAAATATATTTTAACTTACACTTTGGAACATGCTAATTCTGATAATGTTAAACAACCAATAGTAATATTTATTATTATAATAAGCAGAGTCTACCTAAATAGAAGTTGTTCATCTTGTAAATTCTCGTATATTTTACGTTTGTGAATAATTTCATATTAATTATTATTATTATTGTAAACTTTGAACTAAATAATAAGATACAATAAATCTGACTTACGGAACCTGTAACCGATGCGTATCACTTTTTCTTTCAACAACCAAACGTTTTCGGTTACAGGTTCCGTAAGTCAGATTTATTGTATTGTATACAACCCGATGTGCAGTTGATATTATATAAATAATAAGATACTTAAAAAAAATAGTTGTAAGCTGAGAATAATGTTTTTTGTGTACAGTATCTATTTAATGTTAAAATGAAAAACATATTTGTAAAATAAAAACAAATTATTGTTTTATTTTACAAATATGTTTTTCAGTGGCAGAAATGTAGAGATTCTCCCAAACAAAAATAGCTTTTTATGTTCCTAGCAGCATTTCAGTAATTTTGTTTTGCTCCAGAGCAGCTGGTAATTGTGATCAAGCACTTTCTTTGCTAACACTGTAACTGTCCTGCCATTTTTGATGCTCTTGATGTTCGATGTTCGAGATGTCTTCTTGATGTTCGATGCTCATTTATTCTCGAACATCAAGAAGACATCAAAAATGGCAGGCCAGTTACAGAGTTAGCAAAGAAAGTGCTTGATCACAATTACCAGCCACTCTGGAGGAAAACAAAATTACTGAAATGCTGCAATGAACATAAAGAGCTATTTGTTTGGGAGAGTCTCTCTATTTTCAAATACATTTCAAAATAATCACATTTAAAATTTAATTTTTTTTTTTAAGTCTTAAATATAATTTACTGAATTGAATTTTATTGAAATTTTGTTCTTAATTATATCATATTTTTACTTTCAGCATGCTTTAGGAAGGAAAATAAAATCAAAAGCAGTTAGAAAAGAAGATCATTGGTTAAATTACGCTGAAGATAAATATGATGTTAGATAATATATTGTATAAAGTTAGATAAATTTATTTGTGATATTTGATAAATTTTATAAAATTTATATTACATAATTTACATTTTATAAATATTTTATAATTAAAATTATATAATACAGTGAGACCACAATATCCATGGTTCACAAACATCATATTTTTAATTATAGGTCAAGTGTAAATATGTGAAACAATTCAAAATACATAATAATATGTAACAGTACCTGTTTTTATTTTCCCTTAATCTGCCTTGTTATATGCATGCATGAACATGGGTTTTATAGATGATTTGCTGTTATCTGCAGTAGTCTTTGGAATGTATCATTTGTGGATATGGCAGTTCTCCTGTAATAACTTTTACTTTCCTGGCTGTTATGTATTGTAACATAGGAAAATATTGAAATTATGCCAAATTTGACCCTCCAAGTTTTTTGCAGATCTTCATGTTTTGAGACCTCCTGAATTCAAAAGTCAAAAAAGCTCCAAAAAAATTCCATGTGTGTGTGTGTGTGTGTTGGCATCTATTTCACTTAATATCTCAGGATGGGATAAATATTAAGATATGAAATTTGACAAGATGGCTTGTATATGAGGGGCATTGATAGTATTAAATTTTGGTGATTAAAGATAGAGAGGGTGAGGAGATAAAGGGGTGTCATCTGTCATATCTTGATACAAGTAGAATGTAATGATTTTATTCATTATTAACATTTACATTTACTTTGATTGCCAGATTGCTGAGTGGTCAAGGTGGCAGCCTACTGCTCTGGGGGATCCAGGATTGAATTTGGATGGGTTGAAAAATTTTTGGGGATTTTTTGACATATGGTCCGACTGGATATGTCGACCCTCATCCCTCACCACCCGGCTACCCCATTGTGAGCCTGGACAAACCCATAACATGGGATTGCTTAAAAGTGGCCCTCTTAGGCCCACAGGGCAGAAAGAATTTAAAAAATAGAAAAAGAACATTTACACTTTTTTCTCTACTCCAAAAATTAAGCTTTTGACATTTTATAGTAATTAAAAATATAAAGGTTTTTTATAACAAAATCTCGTAACAGATGGTGCCACACACAATTTTATTTATTTTGCTTACTAATATAAAAGTTATTTTTTTAAAATAAAAACTCATAACAGCTAGGAAAGTTACTCAATTCTTGTTTCTGGATTTTTTAATTTTTAGATACCACATTTATTCTAATAAACTGCCCTCTAATAGTAAGTGCATTGCCTTATGTATAGGAGAAAGATAAGGCTTATTTTAAAGTGAAAATTAGTCTATTTAGTTACTCTTACTGTATGTTGAAATAAAAAGTGTGTGCTGAGCATTGTATTATTGTTTGAATAATAATAAAGTATGAAAGAGTTACCACATTTATTCCATTAATAGTCACCTTCAAATAATAATCACACCCAATTCTCAAAAAATAAAAATAATAATCACCCTCTAACAGTGCAAGTTGCAAGCTGGAAAAAGTTATAGATATGCTATTTGTCAGAATAAATATGGTATTAAAGGATTAAGCATCATAATATTACATAAATTAATTTTTCATTAATAACCTAATTAAGAATTAACACAAGTGAAAATTTTAAAAAGTTATTTAAAGATAATAGAGAGGTTGCAGCCGACATTTTCAATGCAAGAATGTATATGTCGGACGTTTAGTGCCGCCTTCCTTTCAGTCTAGAAGTCTGACAATGGCATTTGGAACGTCAAGCATGATTCCATTGACGTTCCAAATACCATTGTCAAACTTCTAGGCTCAAAGGAAGACGGTGCTAAACGTTCAACGTACACGTTTTTGCATTGAAAATGTCAGCCGCAATCTCTCTATTAAAAGTATATTAAAGATATAATCAGTTAAATCTATTTTTAAATTTATTATTTATCAATAATATAAAATAAGTGAATAATTTAAATAACTATATATATTGAATAAAATATTAAACTCCATAATGAATACTTAATATTAAATAAGATATTTATGTATTTATTTTGAAACATTAATATATTTACGGTATACTAATATATTTCAAAATATTTTTGTAATAAATTAGTTTAAAAAATTATGAATGTATAAGATATAGTAAGATAATTTAGCCAAATCTATCCTTATAATTTTTGACATAAAGTTTTTAAATCAATACTCTATAAATGTTTACTAATTGAACTCTGAGAATTCTGAACTATGATGATAAAAATAAGTTAAACAAATTCATTACAGTATGATATTTTAACAAAACTTTTTATGTACAAAATGTTTTTAGTTTCTTTACAGAAAAGGTCTTCTTACATTTTATTATAAATGCTCATATACAGAAATGTTTGTTATTTTTAGAATGTTTTATATCCTTTGCAGTTTCATATGATTAATGCATGCATCTCTTTCTTTGAATTGTTTAGATTATTAAATGTTCATTATTCTCATTTCAATTATATATTAATCATTTCTCTCTTGAAATAGTTTTTTATACTTCTTTTTTAGATAGTCTGTATTGAAATATTAAATTATTGAAATCAGTTAAATTTTATATTTTTCTATAATGTCTTTAGCCTTAGTTTTATTTTGTAAAATGCTATCACTTTCTTATAATAATAATTTCAAATAGTAATGATAATAGTATTTCTCTTTTTCAATGTATAAAGTTTTTTAAATTTCATTAGTATAAATATTAGGAGCAGTCAAATGAAAATGGGTCACCAAACACAGAACTCATCATGCAAAGTTGGCAAACAGTGCTTTTTAAAAATGCTAATATAGTGCGATCTGTGGAGAAGGAGAGCAGCACTGTGACAACCCCCATCACATTCATTGTTTGTTTATTGTGTTTGAAGTAATGTTAGTGATACATGTATTCATACAATATGATAATGGCTTGTATGGAACCATAATTTATCTCCACCAAAATGTGAAGTTCCCCACTGTAATCTGGTAGTTTTTTCAGATAAGACCATTAACCTATACAATAACATAAGGAATAATGATGTAATGAGCCTGTCCTGGGCACAGATTGTCTTGCAGCAACATGCATCCATCTTGGAATCTCATGTCACTCTGGCACATTTAAGCATGACATGTAGTGTTCACTGTACACAACATACATGCACCAATGAATTTCTCATCATCCAACACCCTCAGCAGTTAAAAAACAAACCACTCTCTGTTTTTATTTAATTACCTCCATTTCTGGTGTTGAATGAATACACATATCGCTAACCTTACTTCTAGTGCAACAAACAAATAATGAGTGTGCATATGCAAATTGTCACTGTGCTGCCCTTCTCCCTATAGATGGGAGTATCATTTATAAAATAGCATGTTGTCAACTTTTGCATGTCTTGAGTTCTGTGTGTGGTGATATTTACCATATATTCACCAACTTATGTGAATGAATACTAATAATTCTGTTTAATATCTTACTAGATTCTCTTCTTAATTACTTTGATCAACTTGATATTGTTTGTTGAATTATTATTTGTTTAGCACTATCCAATTTAAATTTGAAATATTTTATATTTTAAATTTTTCCTCACATACTACCAATTCTATATTAAATTTGTTTTTCTCAGTTAATATTAACTTATTTAGTATTTTATATAATGGTTAAGTTCTTATTGATTATAGATGTTGTTAAGCTCTTAAGTAGTAATGTAATTGTTTTACAAGCTGAATTAGGAAATATAATTTTAAAACTAATATTATAATGTTGATTAAATATTTTATAATCAAAAAAAATCTAAACTTAATAAATTGAAAATTTTTCAGAAATCGTTCTTATCTGATATTAAAGATGTCCTGCATGTACTTTTTCTTTATTTACCATTACCTGTATTTTGGGCATTGTTTGATCAGCAGGTAATATTTTAATTAAAAATAAACTATTATTTTATTTTATATATGTGTTTTTAGAATTATGTCTATTGGTTTTTGCTTTAAAGCAGTTTAGTTTGTTATAATTTAAATGAACATTTTTATATGATTTATTTTTATCAATTTAGATGTATTTATATTTAATTTGTTTTGTTGTTGCTGTTAGATTCCAGACCAAACTTTTGCTTTCTTTCAATGAAACTTTAATTTTTCAGTTAAAGATGTTATTTTAAAATTCATTATAAACAATAGACTATAAAACAAGAAAATTCCTACAGAATTAGTGAATTTTATTCTTTTCAAACAATTGTAAGAGGAGTATAGTGTCTTTAGTATACCAAAATATACAGTCGGTGTAGAATGGGTAATGAAATGAAGACCTCACAACCTTCCCTTTATAATTAACACAATAATACTCAGTTTATTAGATTCCACGACCGTTAAACTCATCCGTTCTCTCTTACACATATCATTGCTACTGATTGGTACAGTTATACAACAAAGAGAACAAACTAATCCGAATAACATTAAGATTTCATGAAATAGGTGATTACAAGTGTATACAGGACAATAAGTACACATACTCTTGCATGACATCTCAACATTAACCATATTTGAGTGTCTTTTTCAGCTTATAATAATCCATTGACCAAGGAGGAGGTAAAACATGTGTCTACTAAATTCTTTAATAACAAAAATAATAGTCTTACTAATATCTCTTGGAGGTTCTCAACTAATATGTAGTGATTTCACGAAGATGGACTTGGATTCTTCATTCTGATAAACTGTCCCTTATCCAGCGACGATCTCGACAGTCATTCGTAGTCCACTTCCCTTCTCTCTTGTCAAAACGGGAGTCCAACGAAATCAAAAAGTGCCGAACATGTGAAGACGCCTGCTTTTTATAGCTCCCATTCACTAGAAGTACACTTTCTGCACATGACCCCCTTTCTGACCAATTAGCAGTTTCTATTTTAATCATCACAGAAAGGATGACACCAGGAATCAAAACAGAATTACAACGCTAAGTACCATACAAATTATAAAAACCCGATACAAAGTAACAGAAAAAGTTTACATAATAAAATATAGAACCAAACAAAATTATATACACATATTGGCATAGCACTACATAGCAAAAATATATACATATAGTAGTGTTGCACTACAGGAGAAAGAATGCAAAACTAAATTTGTTTATTACTATCAAAAACCTAAATATCTGAACTTGTACTTAATCTTTTGTAAAACTTTTTCCAGACTTTAATCAGTTGGTGAAAACTGTTATGCCAACTGACAAATGGGCATGTTGGACTTTTGTCCAAAATATTATATTGGCTTAAAGTCAAATGGAACTACATCTGGAGTGAAGAGCTTTCATTCATTTTTTTCATCACAGTTTCTTTATCTTGACTAACATGCTTTCTTTCTCTCTATTGACAGGTATATAAAAATTTATCAATCACAAAACTAAACTATTATATACATACATCACACTATAGAAAGCTGCTATACTAAACACATGTAACATAGAAGTTCTTAAACACAAATACATACATCAAAAGCACATAAACAAAACATTTGTTTTCTGATTATGCCTTGACTTTGGTCTAGAATAGCATTAAGCATCAATACATATATCATTTAGGATACATCTCACTAACACAATAATAGTAATTATTATTATTGTGTTAGTGAGTATAAGTAATAATAATTATTATTATTTTACTATAAAATTATGTAATAAATGGAATTCAGAATTTTTAATAAGAAAGATCAGATTTTTTGTAATGAAATACAATGACATATTCAACTTGTCATTTTATAACTTTTTTTAGCATATTTTGATTAATTTGTAAGTTATATGGTTATATTATTGTGAAAGCTTTCATTTCCATTATCATGTAATAAGTCATCAAAATTCAAACAAATTTACTATTCAATGCAATAACATCTTATGTCTGCAGGTTTTCACTTATATTTTTATTAATTCTAATTATATTATTATTTTTAATAACTTAAAAATTGATGATATTAATATTTTATATATTTCTAAATACTTAAATTAGTTGATATTTATTATATTTTTAAAACTTCTACATATTTTATAATAGGGTTCAAGATGGACTTTACAAGCTAATGCAATGGATGGGCATATAACTGTAATTATTAATGATAATTTTTATTTAATATTTTTATATTTTTATAATTTAACATTTTACAATGAACCATAATTATATAAGATAGATATAAAATGTATTAAAATTGATTTTTATATATTACTACCACTACAATACATTTAGCACATTTAAGTGATTTGAATGATAAATGGAAGTTTAATTTTAATTAAATATATTTAACATTAAAAATTTTCAAGAAGAACAAATCTTTTATTTTTTCTATGTTTTACAGTGGAATAAATGTGGTTAACCATAACAATTTAATTCAATATGAGATTCTATTTTATGCCACAAGGCTTAAAATATTTGACAATATCATAACCTTTTAACAAAAAATTTTATTCTGATAAACTTATTAATAAAAATAAAAATTTCTGTAACTACATTAGAAGATTCTATAGAACACAATTTGAAAACCACTGATCTATATCATTATCAAAATTATAAATTTTAAAAATTTGTAATTTATTTTTTTTTAAATGCAAATAACTGCCATCATAAAAAAAGTTTGTTTTATTTTGATTTTTAGGGCAAGTTTCGTATTAAGCCTGATCAAATGCAAATGATTAATCCTTTTCTGATTCTTTTCTTCATACCACTTTTTGAATATTGCATTTATCCATTATTAGAAAAATGTCATCTTTTAGTTAGGTAAGAAATTTTATTATTGTTACATATCATTTTAAGTAATAAAAATTTAATTACTAACAGAAAAGCAATCGTTTTTCTAAATCTACAAAAACATTAAATATAAACTAAATCAATTTATTATTTCTTTCATTTTTTTATATTACATTTTTATATTGTTACATAAAAGTATATAAATGTAAAGAATATATTTTCATTTTAACTCTATCTGTTTCATTTTTATAATTTCAAATTTGGCTGTGAATGGTTCAAACATTTTAAATTAGAAGCTCTCTATTCACATCTATTATTATTGATTGGTAAGAGTTCTTTCTCTATTCAAACTGTACACTAATACAGAACACATTACAAAACTCCCTCATATTAATCTAATGATTAAATTTACAATATTAACAGATGTTTATGGACTCCATCTGAGACCTGCTTCAGGTTAAAGATGTTCTACATATGGAACATTTGGAGAAGAATTCAAACTTAATTAAATTGTCATGTAACCAAGCAGGTGTGCTATGTTTGATTGGATGAAAATGACAAATCATAAAGTGTCATAAAGATATTTGTTTTTTTCCTCATAGCTAATGCAATTCTTCCTTTGTTCTACTTTAAAAATTTCTGGGACTTCCAAATCCCTAATATAATCACTGCATAGGATAGATCATATTAAGTTAAAGGTACTTGGTGTAACATTGCCTCAGTGTTGTTGTCAGAATGCATGGATAGGGCAGATGGATCTTTTCATGTTGTCAGTATCATATTTATGTTCCTTCACCCATTTTTTTTATAAAATCTACCTTAATCAGGTTTCCAGACTAGGTTATTATCAAACCATGCATCTGTACTATCACCACAATATGAGTCAGCTCCACTTTCACATCCCATATTAATGTTATATGTATACAGCTTCATAATGAGTGCTCTGAAAACAGCAGTTTTGTAATGATAAAGTCATTAGAGCCTGTAGGAATATAAGGAACAGAAATCCAAGTTTTAATATACTGTAGTCTCAATGCTGTTATCACAAATCAAGTGTTGAAGTCCAAATAGTACATCTCTGTGTCACTTGTTTGCTCAACCTCCAGTAACAGATCACAGGGGTTATCATTTATACACTCCTTAAAAGTGAAATTGCAACACATTGAAGGAATGTGCTTAGCCACATGAACATTGCAGGACCAGTAGAGATGACAGAGATATACAAGTGATTAAAAGAATGAACAAGGATATACAACAGACACCTATTTACTCAGTAATGAATATGATCCTCACAGGCAGCTATACAGGCTACGGTATGGTGAGGCATGTCAATGAGGTGATTAATGGTTGCCTGAAGTATCCCTTGCCAAGTTGTGTTTTCTGCAGCACACAGTATGTGATGGGTTCCCAGTACATTTCATGTTGTATGAGGTCTCACAGGTGTTTGATAGGAGAGAGATCTAATGAGGCTACCAGCCAGGGTTAATTCGGTTTGGGAAAATAATAAAACAAATACATTACAATAGATTTTTAATAAGATTTATTTTAATTGCACTTTTCTGGCTTCAATTTCATCAAATTTATTAATTACAATATCAATAGAATACAATATCGTTAAAAATATTAATTATGATGATGTACCATACATCATAATTAATATTTTTAACGATATTGTATTCCATTGAAATAATAGAAAGATTGGATAATCAATCATTCTTGTCCAATAGTTGATATTAAATAATATTTTATTAATTTCAACTTGCTAAAACTTCTCTCACACGAAGCAATAGAAACGGGAAGAGTTAGAAATATTCAAAGAGCAACATTGATATTTGGGTAAGACTCAATTAAACCAAAATCATGAAGAGTCTGAAGAATATTAAGCGGAGATGCAGTTTCTATATTTTCTATAAGAGTTGTTACTTCAAACTTAAAACTTTCAATTTCACACGTGAATTTGTACTTTTTTAAACTTTTGCTATATTTAATAGCAAGATCTGCAGCAGATTTTTTTAAATCAGCAACATTCATGTATTGTAAAGACAAGCCATAGGGAAAGCAAAAAATTGTCACAGATAGTTTTCAGTTTTTGATAATGCCAATCTATTTGAGACAATAGACTGTCAAGAACAATGTAAATTTGTAATAGTATTTTTAACAAGTTGCCTGTACAAGTATAAAACTGTTATAAGATACTGTAAACTGTATACTATTATTTATAGAACAAATGCAAGCATGTGACAAAATATCATTTGCTTGGATGCCCACATATCCCATATTCTCATGTTTTTTCCAACCAAACATTTTACAGAAAATAATAATAACCTAAAAATTCATTACATATGATATTAATTATTAAAATTTTACTATAAAACTCAAATGGTACATTAAAAAGTACTAAATGAAATAGTCTACAAGTACATATAAACTTAACTTAAATTTCAAATTGCTTCACTATACAAATACAAAAATACAAAATTACCTACAGAAATAACAAAAACCTATCATAACAAAATTGACAGGGTTATCCAAGCATGTTCATCATGTGTTTATTAATGAAATCTCAAAATATTGCAGTCAAATAATTTTAATACTATTATTTGCATTCTTATCTGTTTTCACAAACACATGCAAAAACACAAGTATGGTGACTACGTTGCTGTATTCACACTGTAACCTAACCTAATTTAGGCAACTTAACATAGGCACATTGAAAATATCAGTCAGTTCTGCCATTCATTTGAATGTTCATGTTGGTGAACAGAGTCATCTAGAGTAAGGCAAAATCTAATCGCAAAGCCGTAAAGTAGAAAGGTGGAAAAATTTGAAATTTAAAAATATAATTTCTTGTGAACAGCAATTTGGTCCACCCCTTCTAAGTGGGCCCTGTGCGGGTGCACCTATTGCACCTACCTAGTTATGGCACTGCTTGTCCACAGCTTTCATTCCTCCTCAGACAGAATCTGTAAACAATACCCAATGCCATTCAATGGTTCAGTTGCAATGATGATGACACCATGTCAGAAATGCAACTCTGTGTCAAGTTATTGGCACCACTGGTTGCTGGTTGCCCTGTATGCAACCTAAATTCATGCAACCTGTTGTGATTGAGTAGATACAGATGCACTTATTGACAGTGACAGGTGGCTTTGGATGTCATATGCTGTGGTGAATGGGTCTCAATGGGTCATTCAGCAAACCTGCCAGTCTGTATTCTCTGTCATGTGCTGATGTGATTCACTCTCTCTTTGGCATGTTTACAGATGTTCCTGCATCCATCTTGTCGCATGTCACTGGATGGTACTCAACATCATGCCCAATACAGGTGACTGTGTGCATCAACAAAGTAAAGACATGCAGCTCCAGGATGAAGTCTGATTTCCCATCTGTTAACTGGTGCTATTCAGCTCACTGTCATCTCCAACGTATTTTCTGTTTCTTCAAAAGTTCAGCTGCTGCAAACCATTGCTGATAGTATTTATGGCTCTAGCTAGCTGCTGGTCTTTATACCCTAAAACTGGATACCACATGACCTGATGCATATGCAAACTTAATCATTTGCATATCTCTGTCACCTCTGCTGGTCCTGCAATTTGCATGTGGCTACACTCATTTATTCATGGTGTTGCAATTTCACTTTTGAGGAGTGTATGTTCCAGAAAAACATCCAAGTAATGATATCATCTATGTATCTCTTATATGCAATTAAGTTTGAGAGTGTAAGGTGTTCAAGGGGGAGAAAGGGGGAAGTCAATTGAATTCTTGTCAGAATGAACAAGAATAATGGATGCTGTATGGGAATGGTGAACAATACTCAGGCAAGTCACTTTTACGATTGAATACATGAGTTTCAAAACAAGATAAGTCACCATACTGAGGAACAGTGGCGCCTTAGGGGGTGGCGAGCAGGGCAATCGCCCGGGGCCTCGCTCTTGGAGGGGCCTCGCGCAACAACCAAGTAGAAAAAAGTTGATATTTAAAACTTTTTATTTTATCCTTGGCTGTTAGTTATAACAATAACGAATGGGTGATAAACTTCATAGTCAGTGGCGGCCTTAGGGGGTGGCGAGCAGGGCAATCGACCGGGGCCTCGCTCTTGGAGGGGCCTCGCGCAACAACCAAGTAGAAAAAAGTTGATATTTAAAACTTTTTATTTTATCCTTGGCTATTAGTTATAACAATAAAATAAATTTAATTTATAGTACAGTATATATTAATATTAATAAGTGCCTACTATTTCAATTCACATACTTTGCACAAAGGACAAGGGCCTCGCAAAGATCTGCCGCCCAGAGCCTCGCAATGGATAAGGCCGCCGCTGCTTCTGACAATCGCAGCGAGTGTGTGGGCTAAATTTGGAGAATCCGTGCTTCTCGCATGGACAAGTGAATGTTAGATTGTGTGTGGGGGGCATGATTTTGTTCAC